GACTTTCTTGATGGTGATTATCCGAAGAACTTATTCCTTGATATCGCATGTTTCTTCAATGGAATGGATGTGGATGATGCAGTTAGGATACTGGATGGGCTTGATAAAGGTGCAAGATTTGGGATTGACAATCTCATCGATAGATGTCTTATTGAAATCAACGGTGATCAAAGGTTGTGGATGCATCAACTAGTAAGAGATATGGGTAGGGAAATTGCTCGTCAAGAATCACCCAAATGTCAAAGAATATGGCATCATGGGGATGCTTTTACAGTTTTGAAAGGAACTACTGTAAGTAGCTGAATTTTTTTAAATGTCTTCTTAAATGGTTTGTGGTGCCTTGACATATTCATTCATCTATTTTCCTTTCTCATGTACTTTTAATATTATTATGCAGGATGCCGAAAAATTGCGTGGCCTTGCCATTGATATGCATGCATTAATGGAAGATCATTATGCAGAAGTTGTCTGTACTGATTCAATGGTTTGTCGCAAGCGCCGCAGGCTTAACTTCTTTCAACAATGGCTTTCTGATTTTTCTGATGGGGGAAAATTACAAACTAGCCAAACAAGTTTGTTTCCCATCCTCAGCACGGATACTTTTACAAAGATGCCAGATGTAAAATTTCTCCAACTAAACTACACTAATTTTCATGGAAGTTTTGAGCACTTTCCCAAGAATTTGAGATGGTTATGTTGGCATGGATTGTCTTGGAGCTCCATACCAAATCACATATGCTTGGAGAAGCTGGTGGTTCTTGATCTATCCAGAAGTTGTCTAGTTGATGCTTGGAAGGGCAAACCGGTATGTATCAAGTCTCTCTGTAGCTATCTCTCTCGTTTTCAATTGATAACAACTAAATTCATGTATTTTCACAGTTTCTTCCAAAATTAAAAATTCTTGATCTCCGTCACTCTCGTGATCTCATTAGAACCCCAGACTTCTCGGGTCTCCCAGCCCTTGAAAAGCTAATACTTGAAGACTGCATTCGTTTGGTTCAAATTCACGAATCTATTGGTGATTTACAAAGATTGTTGATCTTAAATGTAAGAAATTGTACAAGTCTTATGGAGCTTCCAGAAGAAATGAGTAGAATGAATTCACTTCAAGAGCTGGTTTTAGATGGTTGCTCAAATCTTAACAGCCTGAATATGGAGTTAGAGCATCATCAGGGGCGCAAGTTGCTTCAAAGTGATGGAATTGTTGCATCATTCATTACATCTCTTCCACTGAAGCTATTCTTTGCCTTTAGGTTTTCAACGAGGAAAATGTTGAGATTTACCTTGTTTTCACTGCCACGCTTCTTGGAGAGTCTAGATTTAAGTGGAACTCCAATTCGTTTTCTTCCAGAGAACATCAAGGATCTTGGTCTACTCAGAAACCTATATCTAAGAAATTGCAAAATGCTTCAGGCACTCCCAGAGCTTCCATCCCATTTGGATTCGTTAGATGTGTCCTTTTGCTATTCACTGCAAAGATTTTCAAATCGAATTAGTTGGACTGTAGGAGATGGTTGTGATCACTTAGCCGAGTTCCAAGATCGGATAAAGCAAGAATTAATCCAATGGTTTAGTTTGTCTATAGAGGCAACTTCTTTTTGATGCCTAAACAAATAATAATCAGAAAAATAAGAACCAGATTGTACATAAAAATAAAATACAATATTAATAGATAAAATTAAAAATAAACTCAATTAAAAAAATAATAAAAAAAATAAAAATAAAAAAATAAAAATCAAATTTAATATAAATATCAAATTTACATTTACATTGCAAGATCTTATGGAATATGAATACCAAAAAGGCTTTCCACGTTTGAAAAAAATCAAATATAAAAAAATAACAAAAAATCAAAAGACATGTGTTAACTAACTAATATTACAACTCAAAATGTGAGATTGAAATAACTCAAAAAAATCATGAAATTCAGCCCCAACTAACCCATTGTTGAAAATACTTTTTTTTTTTAACTAACCCATTGTTGAAAATACTTTTTTTAAAAAAATATTAGTTTTAAAAATTAATCTAAAAAAATAAAATCAACTTGAGTTAATTTTTAAAACTTGTGGCTTGGATCATGAGATTATAACTAATTTCATGAAAAGTAAACTTACAAAAATAACAAAATCAAATCCTCAATTAATAAAATTTTGAGGGATGAAATTGAAAAAATAATCAATAAAAAATAGTGAGAAACAAAACAAATAGTAATTAGAAAAATAAGGACCAAGTTTTACATAAAAATAAAATTACATATTGATGAATAAAATTAAAAAATAAAATCAATTAAGAAAATAAAAAAAAATAATCAAATTTTCATAGATATTACAAGATTTTTATATCAAGACAATCAAAATAAACTACCAAATCAAATTATAAATAAAATCAATGTTAATAAATCAAATTAAAAAAGAAAGTCGAGAGACCAAAATAAAAAAGGGTACATGAACTTCTTCTGTAACTATGCAAATCAGTCTTTGATTTAAAAAAAAAAAAGAACTTAGCATTTGTTTAAGATTTATATTTGATCTTTAAAACTTTAATTATTGTAAATTAATTGAATTAAATTTTGTTTTTCAAAACTGAGAATTAACCGAAAGGTGCAACATTTTCTCAACACCACGAGATCCCCGGACACACGCATAAAAAGCAAAAAACCAAGATCAATCACAAATTTTGTAGGACCAAATTAGAAAACAAAGAAATTGAGGGCCAAAGTGTAAAAAACTCCAAGGAGTAAAAAAAAAACAAGAAGAAGATGCATTGTTCGTGCATCTCCTCTCATGGCACAGTTAAACACCGATGCTTTTTAGAGGGTTTTTTTTTATAGTTATAATTATAATTATAAAAGGTGTAGGAGCTGAAGGGCAATGGCAAACTCATATGATAGAAACTTGAGGGCTTTGCTTCCAATCTTACATTTCTTGCATTTATCAGTGAAGGCCACAAAACAATCAGAAAGCAACTGGTATTTAGTAGCTGGTTCTGAAGGTGACAATCCACACGATCATTAATTCGAGCTTGGTGAGCAACACTCACGAAGAAGCAAGGCCATGCTACTAAAAAATTGGCCAGCAAAGAATTTAACGAAGAGATATTATGTGTATTCTTCGGATCCGACATGGCCTCTGACCTGGGCAGAGGGCTCAGGTTATTTGGCCAACGGGTTATGCCGGGTCTATTATAATGGTTCAATCTAACTAGTTACTCGAACTTGGTTTGATCAATGTAAAAATCAAGGTTAGAGTATGAATAATTGATTTGTCAAGTTTCCAGCTAATTATAACTGTCATGTTTATTTGCCCCCTCCTGCCTCCTACAGAAGTTGACTCCCACCTTCATTATATAAAGAAAGGGATGGGAAGAAGAACCTTGAAGGAAAAATAAAAAAATAAAAAAGACAACAAGGCATGAAGCATCCATTACTTACAATTCAAAAGGCAATTAAGAAATTTTAAATGATGTAGCTCAATTAATTAAATTTTAAATTTATTTTTTAAAAATTATTAATTTGAATCTTATAAATTTCAAAATTACTAAAAATTTATATGATTATTAACTTTAAAATCTCAAATAATTAGATAAAATTAAGAGTAAGTTAGCTAAAATACTCATTAAAAACTTACATGTTTATAACTTCATGTACTCTAAAGAAATTGACTCCCAGCTTCATTGTATAAAGAAAAGGATAGGAAGAAGAACCTTGAAGAAGAAAAATAGACAACAAGGCATGAAGCATCCACTACTTACAATTCAACAGGCAATTAGGAAAAACAACGCTCAAAAAGCTAAATTCATATTACATTATGGGTCCATCGTTCGTTCATCTCTAGTGTACTTCCGATATTATTTTTGTGCAGCTCTCTCGACAATTTGATCAGGACCAGTCCCCTCACAATATTGAAAGCTCACAAACTTATAATTAAACTAAAGTTTGATTGAAAATTTTGAGTTGACTGGTTTTTTCTCAAAAATTGATTCTTAAAAATAATTGCTTATATTTTGATTGTGTTATATATATATATATAAAGAGGAGCTTTCACTAAAATTACCGTGTCTATTATATAATAGGATATCAATATTTAATAAACAAGAGCACGACATGGGCAATATTTATGAATGCGTAAGCAAATTGAAATATTCAAACAAATTGACAAAGATTTATTCCGAATAATTTTTTAGGCACAGGTGAGAACATGCTTGAGAAATATGTTTCTGTCTTGGTCCCAGCTCTTCTTTCTCTCATCCCATCTGAACATGACACCTGTGCTGTTCTTCTCGATGAAGGAAGGCCAAATGTACAGAGATAATAATGAAAAGCACAGGCTCTCGCTATGATGTGGCCATGGCATGCATGCTAGCAAGAAGCAAAACGATGCATGCTTCCTCCATACCGATAAGACAACAAGGGTTGGTTTTTGAACCACGAGATAGTAAGGCCAACACTATTTATTGGCATGAGCTTGGCGACGCATTCCTGTTGTTTTTGTAAAATTGTCCTTGGATTTTAAAAAAATATCATACACTCAAATTTTTTAATATGATTTTATGTTTTTTAAGCATGCACTCAAATTTAAAATTGTACTTGCATTTCTAAATAAGTCCATTTCTGAAGACATCCTAACTCAGATGTGCTAAATTTAAAAAAGAAATAGTAATTTAACTTTTCAATTCTTGTTTTACATATTTAAGTGGAGTGCTAATAAAAAAAATTATAAAAATATTATTCCTGTATAACTAGCAAAAAAAAATACTAAAACCTTTTAAAACACTATTTATTATAATAATATTTTTTTACTCACTTTTCTTATTTAAATTTTTTTAAATTTATATTTTACAAAATTAGCTATTAATCTATAGTTCATGTCACAAGAAGTTCATTCAAGCTAAATCAAGTAAATGTTTTTTATTAATTTCTATTTTAATTTTACAATTAATAGATAACATTAAGCTAAGTTGATGAGTTAATTGTTAAAATAATTATGTATTAAATTTATTAAAATATTATAAAGTTTTTTAAATAACTTCTTATTATTTAAGCACATATAAAAAAAATTATTTTCATATCACAATTTAACTCTTCTAAGTAAATTCCAAATGCTCTAACAAAATAAACAAATCCCACACAAGAAAAGTGAACAAACTTTTAAAGTTAGTATCTTTTTAATTAACTAATTGCATCTGGCGAAAAAAAAAACTAATTGTATATGTGAATTGGTGAGAAAAATAATTTCTTTGTTTATACAAGGAAAAATGCAGAATACACTGAAAAGTACATCTAAATCAAACTTAATATTGCTATTAATTAATACTTTACAATATATATAATTAGAGGGTCAATTAATTACAAACTCTAATAAACTTTTTTTGTGAAGAGGCTACGTAAATTGAAAAGATTACCACCATTTCCAACATTAGTAGTGCTACTACCACCACAATTACCGCCAGCGTTTTTGGTTGCGCCACCGTCACTGCCGTCAGCACCGCGGACACCGCTTCTGCAACTCAAATGATTTCTATACCCAATACAAACGGGGACATTTATATTCAAAACCTTTGCTCTAGCAACACTAGTAATGCCATTAACATTGGCTGTATTTTTACTGCGGCGAGGCTCGGTAACTTCTTTTTTACTGCTCGATTTCTCACCACTCCGAACCACAGGCTCAGGGAAGCTACTCTTCGTACCCGAACCACCTCCACGTCGAACCTGCCACACTGGGCTGCTCCGACTCAAATGGACTCCGGGTCGACCAGGGCTACTTGGCCATGACTTTCTTGATTTGGATTCCCCTGCTGAATTACTCCTCGAACAAGGGGCACTACTTACCTTCCGGGTTCCGGGAGCCCCGGGAAACAACTTGGGTCGGGTCACACTGTTCCCTTCGGATCTACTACGTGAAAATGGCCATATGTTGATATTCAACTCAGCTGAACTCGCTCCATTTTGAATCCTTTTCTCCCTCTTTTTGTCTTTGTCCTTGTCTTTCTCTTCTTGTTTCCTGGCAGCTTTTGAAGTTTTCTTGCCACCTTTCTTGAATATTATATCTTTCCATCTCTTGGAACTGCTTGTTGGCTCCATGGTTATGCTTGCTGGCGAGATTTCGGGTTCAGGGTCAGGTTGGGAGCTGGGAGGTTCGGGTTCGGTCGAGTCAGGGTCAGGATCAGGCGGGTGGTGGTGGTTGTTGTTGGGGTGGTGGAGGAGGTAGAGAGGGAGGAGGACACCATCAACAAAGAGTTCATCAGCTGAAACAAGATTTGGTTGAGGGAAAGATGGGTTTTGGACCATCCAGAACTCGAATTCGGGTGGTGAGTTAGAATCACTGCTTGCTCTCCTTCTACTGCTGCATGGAGATAGGATTACTTGAGATTCTTTAATGGATATTCTTTGTGGGCTATCCATATTGTTGGATAATGAAAGAGAGAGAGAGGGGAGGTTTGTTTTTGAGAGGAGAGGAAGTGTGGGGGAAGTTTCTCTGTTTTCTTGGGACTGAGCTTGGTTCAGAGTTCAGTTCAGCTTGACTCTACAAGAGCTATAAACAAGGGAGAAAGAGTCAATAAAAATGAAGAGATAGGAGAGCTTAGAGGTTGGGTCCATTATATATGCAACCATGTAATAAGAAATTATATATGCAACCTTTAGTACTATATTCTCATTGTTATTAAACTAACGCAACTTTTTTTTATTTTAAAAATATTTTTTATTTTTTTTAAATAATATTTTTTTATATTTTCAAATTGTTTTAATGCGTTAATATCAAAAATAATTTTTATAAAATAAAAAATATTATTTTAATATATTTCCAAATAAAAAATATTTTAAAAAACAATAATAATCACATTTTCAAACGGACTATAGTTAGGAAAACTTAGGTAATGTTTGTTTGTGTGTTTATAAAGTGTTTTGAAAAAAATAATGTTTTATATTTTTTATTTTAAATTAATATTTTTTTAGTATTTTTAAAAAATAATTTTGATATATTTCTAAAAGATATATACTTTATAAGTAATTATTATCACATTTTCAAAACATCTCTTTAACCGAGATAGAGATAAGGTTTGACCAAATTTGAATTTTAAATAAATAGATAAAAATAGATACCGGTTAAGTTTGAGATACTCAACAAATCAATCTACAATCTAATTCATATAATTAAAATATAATTAAAATAAAAATTAATTTTTTTTTTAAATATATCATTTTAATTTTTAATTTTTTTTATTAAAACATCATTGTTTTTAATTAATTTGAATTAATTTGAGTTAATTCATTTAATTCATAACTTTAGCCTAAGCCATATTGTTGGATAATGAAAGAGAGAGAGGGGAGGAAGTGTGGGGGAAGTTTCTCTGTTTTCTTGGGACTGAGCTTGGTTCAGAGTTCAGTTCAGCTTGACTCTACAAGAGCTAAAAACAAGGGAGAAAGAGTCAATAAAAATGAAGAGATAGGAGAGCTTAGAGGTTGGGTCCATTATATATGCAACCATGTAATAAGAAATTATATATGCAACCTTTAGTTTCTACAGGAACATCTGCATACTATATTCTCATTGTTGTTAAACTAACGCAACATTCATAACTTTAGCCTAAGATCATGAATTTAATAATTTTGGTTTTTAATGCTAAAATTAATTTCATATAGGCTATTTACATCAATTTTAATAAATTAGTAAAAACCATTGTACTGTGATTATGAGGTTCAAATTTTAGATTTAATGATAAGATTATTCCGGTACCATAGTTTTTATATACTTGCCTTCGTATCTCCAATCATATCTTCATCAAACCATTTATATACATGGATTGATGCATATCATGAAAATTTACTACAATTTAAAAAACAATTATAATTATATTTTCAAACCGACTAGAATAGGGAAGATTTAGGTAATGTTTGTTTGTGTATTTATAAAGTGTTTTAAAAAAATAATTTTTTATATTTTTTATTTTAAATTAATATTTTTTTAACATTTTTAAAAAATAATTTTAATATATTTCTAAAAAAATATATTTTATAAGTAATCATTATCATATTTTCAAAATATCCAGTATCCTTTTAACCGAAATAGAGATAAGATTTGACTAAATTTGAATTTTAAAAAAATAAATAAGAGTAGATACTACAAATCAATTTATAATCTAATTTATATAATCAAAACAAAAATTATTTTTAAAAAAATATATATCATTTTAAATTTTAAATTGAAAATTGAATCATGAATTTAATAATTTTGGTTTTTAATGCTAAAATTAATTTCATGTAGGCTACTTACATCAATTTAAAAAAAATAATAAAAACCATTGTACCATGATTGTGAGATTAAAATTTTAGATTGAATGATAAGATTATTCCAGTACCATAGTTTTCATATACTTGCCTTCATATCTCCAATCATATCTTCATCGAACCATTTATATACATGGATAGATGCATATCATGAAAATTTACTACAAGATCATTTTCTTAATTTGAATTCTGAGCATGTGGCTCCATCAAATCTACTTGCCTTCCTAGTGAGAGATTATTTAGTTAATAATTAAGGATATTGCTTATACCTACCTAGCCATTTGTGTGTACATTGAGTTAGTTAACACTTCCTGTCTAAATCATGACACTGTAGATGTCATGAGAGGTCATAATTATCATCATTTACTCCTCTCTTTTTTTTTTTTTGCCTTAAATGAAAATATCCATTGTTTTTCATTGATTTTGATTGTAGAGTAAAAAAGGTATCATTCTACTGTGTTTTTGGCTTGGTATTGTCATTTTCTCAAGAAATAGCACTTGCAAAGATGTGCAGTAACGGGATGTGGTGCTCCATTTGAGAATTTTATTTTAGTATAAAGAAGATATGTTTATCTTTTTAATAATAGAAATTCACTTAAAAATTATTATAAAAATAAATTTATTTTATACATGTATTTTTGTCTTTCTAATTAAACGTATATTTATCTCTTTTATAATTTTTTTCTGAAACACTAACTAAATAAAACTTTAGTATAAACTGAAGTATCAGCTCATTAACATTTCTTTATAAATATATGTTCTTGAATTATGTTTTAAAACAATAAAAATTCATTAATTTTTTTCTTCTATATATAGTTTTTTATATCGAACACTAACCAAAAACAGCATAAATATGGGTCGAGAGCTCATTAAATACTTGAATCTTGAAACTTTTGATGATCATTATTATGATTATATGCTATGAAAAAAGAGAGATCAATTAGGGGAATAATTAAACTGATTATAACACGAGAGAAGTAGGGTTGACCCCAATTAACATGCAAGAGGGCCATTCTAATTTAAGAGTGATGTCAAGTCATTGTAAGTGGTAGGGATGTGAGACTAATCCATGGGGTCCTCGCCAGATTCATGCCGCCTCTTCATTTTTAGATCTAAACTAAGAGGGTTGACTTCTTGCATTACCTCCTCTTCTATGTAAATAAAGTTTTTTTCATATTTAAAACCATCTAAAAAATCTTTAAAAAATATAAATTTGGAAGTGTTTTTATTCCAACTACAATAAAATTTTTAAAATGTTCATTTCAAAATAAAAATTCAGAAATCAATTAAAAAAATATCTGATAAATTATCAATCACCTCAAAAAACTCTAAAAAATAATAAATAAAACATAATTCAAGATCAACATTATAAATTAAAAAAATTAACCATAAAATGATTGAAGTTGATAATTTAAAAAAAAAAAAGCATCTAAGTAACCATAAAATGATTGAAGTTGATAATTTTAAAAAAAAACATCTAAAACAACTTATTTTAAATAAAAATTTAAACTAAAAACTAAAATAATTTTATTTAAATTAAATAAAAATTTAAACTAAAAACTAAAACAATTTTATTTTTTTAAAAAAATAATAGCATCTCATCAAGATTTTAACTAGATGATTTAGATTGCATGTTAACATAACTAATCAACTCAAATTGAGTTTCATAACAGATTTTTTTTTTTTGAAATCAGAACTATAAGAATTTAAAAACATTTTAAAGTATATATTATTACAAACATGTTACTAAACAAAATTTTATTAGGTTTTTTTTTTTTTTTTGGTGTGCGCGCGTGTGGGGGAGGTGAGATGAGGTGCACAGGGGAGATTTCGAAAGCGTGTGATAGGCAAGTGTGTCTGCGGTAGCAGCCAAACCTCCAAGCTGGCTTTCTATGGAGATTTGTAAGGGTCCCTGTTTTGGAAGTAATTACGTGATGATGATCATCAAGTGCTCTGTAGAAAAACAATACAACGGACACCGTGGCAGTGATGTGAGTCAGAATGGGACCCACTTTGTTTCAGAAAAATCTTGACCATCCAATCGACATAAGTCTAAAGGGGATGTATAATACCTACGGCTCGAAACACCCATGGGGTTTGAATTCAAATCCTAAAGACCTGGCAGCTGTGATTCGTACATCCAACTTCGTTAAAGTTTTAAATTAAAATTAAGTGACGTTAACGTTAGAATATAATTTAACCGACAGAAAATAATATCATTTTATTTTTTAAAAAAGAATTTTTAAAATAATATTTTTTAATTAAATTTGAGTTAATTTAGATTGTCTTATTTAATGTGCTGTGCATGGCTGGAAAGAAGTTTTTTTAAAAGTGAATTCCTGAAAAATAATTCTGAAAAATTAAATTATTTTTTGATGTTTGGTAGTGTAATATAAAATAAGTTGAAAAAAAAAAACAAAATATATATAGCAATCAAAAGTTTGAGGACCAAATTTAATATAATCAGCAAATAATATGATATTTCTAAATTTTTCACAACTTTTAAAAATGGTTTTCTATTCAAATTTTTCAGGAAAATACTTTCCTGAAAATCAAGCTAAATTTTTCTTTGATCAAAAAATATTTTCTATTGACTAAATTTTCTAATAACATAAAAATTTGAAAAGTGATTTCAGAAACTACTTTCTAGAAAACAAACATAATTTTAAATAAATCTTGATACTAACCCGACTTTTTCATTATTTTAGTGCCTGTTGGGGAAAAACATTGATACAATTAATCCTTTAATCCTTATGAACTAACCTATCATAATTTAATAACATGGGATGGGAAGGCTTTTAACATTAGAAAAACATATAATATTTCTCATAAATATATTAATAAATCATCTTAAATTTTTTTCCATCAAAGACGAATTCATTCTTAATATAAAAGTTTGAGGAATGTTGTTATGAAGGAATGTTGTTCTTGATAGTTAAATAAATCACACTTGCATAATGATTAAATATTTAAATTTTTTTATTCAATGAATAATGAATAGAATATTAAGACAATAGAAACTTGATGATATGTAAATACTCTGTGGGTACTATAATATAACCCAATTGGCATGTAATGCATTATTTTCTCTAGAGAAAAAATATAAATAAGTTGGATCAAAATAATATTTTGTTATTTTGATGGAGATTAAAATAACATTTTATTATTAAGTTGTGGTTATTTTTTAAAATATTTTTTATTTAAAAATATATTAAAATAATATTTTTTATTTTTTAAAAATTATTTTTATGTCATTGCATTAAAATAATTTAAAAATAAAAAAAATTATTAATTTAAAATAAAAAAAATTTAATTTTTTTAAAATACAAAAACATACAGAATCTCGCTCCTTATTTCTAATAATCGTGGATAAGCCATAGCCATATACAAGTAGACACCACTCTCTCAACTTCACTTCTTCCCAGGAAAAAGAATCTAAAAGTTTTAGCTTCAAGATCACACATCAATTAAATATACACTATGTCAAGATGCTTGCCACCCACCAACGTACAGTAGTCCTTCATGAAGTTCTCGATTGGTTTAGATAATTGCATGAGCCATTGTCTCATATTATTCATCTTTGTTCGCATAGAAACCTCCAGCATACTACATGTGATGCATTCCGAAATGGACAAATTCTTACAATCTTGATTTCTCCCACAAGAACATCAACTATATATGCATCAAGATAGATTTGAAAGTGAGTGAAGCCTTCATGTCAAATGCCTCAAGTGCACATATTATAGCTGATTATATCATATGATTTCTTATCTTTACAATAATGCACATCGATCTAGCTAAGGACTAGTGAGCACGACAACGATTCCTGGCAAGATGGGTTCCACAATATATCAACTAAGGATTTGAACCATGTGATGGACATATATAAAATGAAGTCAAATGTATAAAAATATAATCCTTCACACGGTTGCCATCATGAAAATATTGCTAAAAATCGAAGAAAGAAAGAAAGAAAAGGGGTGTGTAAGGTGACAACGTGAGTGGACCCCTAGGGATAATGGGCTAAGTGGTTGGCTTGTGAGCTTGTAGGAGTGACGGTGAGCTGGTGGGACACTTGGGAATCCAACAAGCGAGGATGATCAGAGAAGAGAAGAGATCTTTGCATGGTAGATACGGGCTTTATGTTGATGAAATTTGTTTGTAGGGAAAATGATCAGTCATGTGCATGCAAAAGCAAACATTATTTCATCAACCCTTTTGGGTCCCATTCACACTCGCACAGCATACCCCTTCACTCATTCTTCCATCTTGACAGCAACTGCCCCATGGCTTTTTGGAGGTAGCTGTTGTTTTAGCCTGTAAATTGCAATGCCTTCATGCCCTAATCAATGATCATCTGCTCACTGGTTTCCATTCAAGATTTAGTTATGACTACCAATCAATTAATTCCTGTTATCACCAATAGTTCTCGGTTTAAGTTTGTCAAGTTAATTCCAGTTAATATATTGAATGGATGTTATTTTCAAAATCGAGTTTTTACGAGTTTATCAGCAGCTGCCGTCTGTTTTCCTGAAACACAACCTGGACTAGATCGCAAATCAACTTGTCTTTTAAGATTAAGTTTAATAACAATGATGGTTAAATTATATTTATGTGACTGTTGGATCGGATGTGATCTAGATAAACAGTGCAGAAATCACTGTATCTGTTTCTGAACGGGCAGTGCCGGAAGCATTGAGGAAGATGCTGCGTGGAAAATGCCAAGGGGATGCGTAAGATCAAGAATGTACTTAATGTTGGAAAAACAAGAAAGGTTTATGGGAAATGACTTTCCACTTAATGGCAGTGAGTGAGTCTGTCTTGGTATTTGTATTATTGTATGTTTGATTATTGAGGAGGATGCAGTTAGTGCCTAATCACTGCCTCCCAAAAGTGCATTTCAAAAACCTACAAAAAGAGAGACTGAACCATGTGGGCTTGCGGCCATTTGGTACGAAACTTATTGACACTCTGTTCAACCAGCAAGAACTTGGAAAAGAAAAAAAAGGATATTGTTTTTATTTTTTATTTTAACGTCAAGTCTAATATCTGCCAGCTTTATAGCATCAATGCCGGTCTCTTTTTCAGTGTGGGTTTATTTCGCATAAATATTTCTAAAAACAAAATCACATATAGAACGTTTGGCTAGTAACAAAGTGAAAAATACAATCGATTAGGTTGGAAAAACTTTAAACTGAGTTTGTATTTTTCAAAGTTGGACTTGTTTGTTTTTGAGAAATTTTTGTTTAGCATTGTGGTGTGATATGTGTTTTACCCTCATTATAAATTTAAAAATATTTAATTAATCAACATTCTTATAGTTTTGTTGGATCCTATTAAAAGCTTTCTTTAAAAAATTTGGTCGAGAAAAAACTATAATTTTAATCAATATATACTTAATTGGGTTAGGCTAGTTTCAAACCCCTGCAAAACAAGTTTTTTATCATAATATAAAAATTTTTTATATTAAAGTTAGTAAACTATAAAAGAAAAATAATGTATATCAAAGATATGTTGAGATTATTTATGTATAGTTATGTTTGATATGGTCTTATATATTGTGATTTATTAGCTTAAGATATTTATACACCTCGTCACATTAAATTACCTTGTAGAACATGAATTTTTCATTTGTAGTAGCCTTTTTTTTTTTTAGATTAACGTGGGTATCCGGGCCAGCTTGCGCGCACCACGACTAATCCCACGGGCCCTGAAGTTAACGACCATGTAAGTCTCCAGTGGCCATCATATGAGCAACTAAGGACTCGAACCTGAGACCACAGAGGGAGCAAACCCCTTGATCCCAAATCCTTACCACTTGACCACCACCTAGATGGTTTTCATTTATAGTAGCCTTACTTAGACAAGTAGATGTGAGATAACTATTAGTGATAAAGATAGGTACCACACTAATAATTCATGCTCGGGAGGTTGCGACACTACATTAACAAGACTTAGCTCTATGTTTTACAAGGTTTTAGTGCCATGTTGATATTTTGAGGTCGTAACAATGCAGGCTAAGTATTTGTTTGACGTGCCATCTATTCGGTTTGATTTGATTTGATTTTCAAAAAGTTATCTTGTCTTGGTGTGGCTCACCTAGAAATGGGTTGGGCTTGAATTCCAAGCAACATACTAAGCCATGACTAACAACCAACAACTTGGTTGTCCACTATGTACTATTTGACCACAACACGAACATTATAATGAACAACAAAGTTGCTCGTTGTTTGTTGTTGGGCTAAGGCTCAAATAGAATAACTGTCGACTGTTTTATTTTTGTATCATCACTAATAATATTAAGATAATAATGGCATTCCAGTGCTTGACTTAGCAGTGGAAGGGACTTGTCTCCTTCCATTGCATCTGGGTTTGAGCCCTAGCGTGCACGCCTGTCACCCCCGCGGTGCCTTACATGCCTACTGAATTTGCAGGGTATTCAGTGAGCCGTGGGGATTAGTCGTGGTGCGTGCAAGCTGGCCCGGACACCCCACGTAAATAAAAAAAAAGAAGATAATAATGATGATATTGAGTTATAATGATAAAATGATGACAACGAGTGTTAATGATAGTAGTTATGGTAATATTTGTAAGGGTAAAGATTTAGGTGGATGTGATGAGATGATGAATAAGTTTATCTTACATAAATATTTTATAAGAAAAAAATATATATGAATTTATTTAAAACAAATTAGAATGTTTAAGACTTCATACTGAGTTAGACCTTTCCATGTTTGGTCTTGATGGATTCTTGAGAAATTTTTATTAAGGCTTTATTTAATAGTGTGGTGGGTCTGTGTTTTATCTAAATTGTAGATTTTAAAGTTTTTAGTTAATCAACACATGTTATAGTTTTATATGAATTCCACTAAAATCTTTTTTTTTTGAAACCTTGATATAATTTGTAGCTTTTTTTAAATTTTTTTTTGAAATCACAATAATAAAAACTACAAAAATGATAAACACATACTAATTTAGGCTAGATTATTTCATAAATTCTTATGAAACAAGTTTTCTATGAGAATCGAATAGCTTTCAATGCTTAAGTTAAAAACCTTTCAATACTTAAATTAATCAATTACAAATAAAAAATGATATATAACAAAAATATATCGTGATTATTGTGTGAAGTTTTCATTTGAGGTAGCCATAAGAGTAGTAATAAAAGTTGTGATGGGAAGATAATATTTATTAAAATTGTTAAATGATATTATAAATAAATTATTATTTATAAAATTTTTATAGTGGAAAGTATTTTTAATAAATAAATTAAATTCAAAAACTAATGATAGAAAATTTAGGTTAATAAGTTTTCTAATTAGAATATTTTTTTAAACAAAAACAAGACATGAAAAATCAGAAAAATACTTTTCTATACAATATTTTATACAAATCAAAGCTCTTATTAATTTGGTAACATGTCATCTTCATCGATGTACTCTGAAAAGCTTTCTGTGATTGTTGTCAAGTCATAGACTTAACGTGACAAGTTGATGAAAGATACAACACATGCTTATATAGGTCATTAGGCAATAGGTAGGCCAAAAATGCTTGTAGATGTTGAAAGGGGCTCCAATCCCTGCACTCCCCCTTCCATGGTAAAAAGGAGAAGCAGCAGGAAAGTCGATAAGATAGAACCTTAAAAGACTGGAATGGAAGGAAATATTTCGTATTTTATATAGCATCCTCAATCCAAGTATTCTTGATAACAATTTGTTCAGTCACGTACTATGTGTTGTGTAATTGTTGTCAAGAATCCTCTTGTGCATGGAGGTTTTTTTCTTTTTTTTTAAAAAAAAATATTATTAAACTTATTTTAAAGAATAAAATTGTTTAGGGTTATGTTATAAATTAGTCATGTTAACTTTAATTAATTTAAAATAATATTATATAATGATTTAAAAAAAAATTAAAATAATATCATTTTATTTTTTAAATTAAACTAAATTTTAATTAGATTCATTAGATCATACATTAATCTATTAAATCAAGTAGTTTTGATTAGATTAATTTTTACTCAATTTAATTTGAAATTTAATCTAGATTAAATTTTAAATTGGAAGATTAAATTTTAAATTGGTGGATAATCACAAGCTTAATAACAATATTTTTTTTATGAAAAAAATAAATTGTCGTTGAACAAATACCTTGATTTCACTCAAATCAAGTGAACTGCTATTGTGAAGTCAACTAATAAACGAAAGAAACGGTCGTATTTTTGTTTATGGTGTCTCAAAACATGACCCAACTCAGCGCAATAATGCAAGATGTACAAGGGGTAAATAATAATAATAATAATAATAACAATTGTGGCATCGGAAAACTTCATGGCAGGCAGAGAGTCAGTAATAATAATAATAATAACAATTGTGGCATTGGAAAACTTCATGGCAGGCAGACAGCATGATCCTTGATTCTATGATGACAAAAAACACTTTGACATCTGAATCATGATGTACTAGAAAAAAGTATGAGAGGGTCTATTTGCCTTATATTATTGTATGTGGCCCTTTATAAACCCTCAAACATTTGTAATTTAACCTTAACAAATAGATCCCATGTTTCCTCCCTTCATACCTTACATTCAAGTTCTAAGATCAATAACAAAAAAAAAATGTATATATTTTTTAATTCACTAAACAAATACAAAAGTGTGCTATTGAGTTTATTTGAAAATAAAATTAGCCTTAATTGATGGATAAAATGATAGAAAAACATATTTATTGATCGGTAATAAAATATATTTTTACTTTATAATTTTTTTTTTTAAATTGAAATATACCCGATTGTGTTCTTGAATTTACTATATGATGCCTGAGAATTGGTCCTTATCCATTTTATCAGTTGAGAACGAAGAGATATCTTTGATAAAATAGCAATAGGGATCTTGAAGCCCTAAAATGTTAAAATCTTTATAAAACTATGCCTCTAAAATTTCTTAATTAAATCTTAGCCTATCTAATTATTAGATAAAAAAAAATAATTTTTTTCATAATAATTATTTAACCCTCATCCTTGAATTTTTAATATGAACTTTATAACAAGTGTTTAATTTAATTTACT